CTCACTGCAGTTGCTTTTGTAGAAATTCGATTCGCTATTGCAATTTGTTATTAATAATCAATTAATTCAATGGCTATGCAAATTGGTGAGTATCTGTTGGAATTACTTGATTTATTCTGCTCCTTTCTAATTCGGTATTTGTATTTCGTCTGCTGGTTCTCGACTGGGCCAAATTGTTTACTACACGTTTCGTAATGGAGGCGTTTGTGGAAAAGCTGAATGAATAATAAGCGAATGCGCACATTTGTTTATAAAATGCATTTTTCCACAACATTAATTATTATTTATTAGCAAACGTGCCGCAGTTCCGCGATGACCGGGCGCAATTGTGTGAAAATTGAGTGCCAAGCAAAACCTTTTGCCTAATTGATTTTTACAAAAAAACACAATAATGGAAAATACATGAATAAAATATTATATGAATATATATCTTATATATATTTATAGATGACAAAGCACAGTTAAACTTTACATCAATTAACTTGGTTTTTGCCCAATGAGTAATGATTACAATTTTATCCGTTAAGTAGTAGCTTTTAAACGTTCAACTATTGAACAATCGGATAAATTATCCGATTTTATCCGAAAACCCCAAAAAGCACGCAAGACACTTCTATCAGCCGTGAAAATGACTATACTACTTTTATATCACTCATAAAGTGCCTTTTAATATTATCCGAATCCAAATTCATTACATATCTCGATATGAACCTGTTTTAGGTGTCAATTTGCCTGTTAAACAATTTTTTACTTCAGACTGCATGAATAAGCATGTGGACAAACGAGCCAAACTTATCCGACTACTTAAAATATGTATATGAGATTTGCACAGCATTAAATTTCGACACAATCTAAGATAAAAAGTAGTTTTTTATTACAGATAATTATGGATAATTATGTGACTAAGCTTTTGGTGTGAATTTAAGTGTTTAAACTACAATTAAAAGCTGGCGAGGTATAGTTGCTGTGAAATTCTCTAGAGTTAATTAAATGAATTTCAACAACGATCACGCCTTTGAAAACTATAGGAATAAATTACTTTTACTCGTAGCTGGATAATTAACATAATGGCTCGAATTGTGGCTAATAAAGGCTTTGTTATTTAATGAAATTATTTATTATCTTCATATTCTACATATAAATATGCTTGGACTCCATGCCATAATCAAGTTAAAAATAAAGCATAATATCACGACGCCATAAAACACAAGTACTTATAAGCCAAAAGCGATAAATGCAGCTCATATAAGCAAAACAAAAACAATAACAAAACTGAATTGAATTGCAAAAAAAAAGAAGGAAAATAATAAAACAAAAAGAATATGATAGTAAATGGCATAAAACAATTGACAAAAGAATGCGGCAATATTTTTTTTTGCTAAATTGAAGTGCCTCTGATAAAGTCATAAAATACATATATATGTATGTATCTGTGTATATATCTAAAGATATATGTAAGAGCGGCCTTTGCGCGCGGTCAATGCGTGATTTATTGATGCAGTAATAAAATGAATGAAATTGAAGCATCAAAAAACCGAAGCGAAAGACAATGACCGCAGTCAGTGTGTGATCAACGTTCTGACTTGCAGCAATTGAATTAAAGCGACATTCAAATACAACAACAGCAACAAAATGTAATTAATAATGAAACGCAACAACTCTTTCAATTTAACAGCCTCTCTGTGTGCTTCGAGCCCATAACTTTTTATAGCCGCAGCTCTGTGATTTATGTGTTTGAATTAGTTGCTGCCGTTTTCACGTTCCAGTTGCAAAGTCACACAAAAGCGTTAATTTCACCAAACATTTGGCTGTCAGTAAATCTGGGTGTGTGTGAATGTGTGTGTGTGGATTCACAATTGATTGAATATGAATGCATTTACCTACAAAATATTTTGCAAATGAATAACACGTGTCGAGCAATCTGCAAGAAGGTCAAACGAATCACGAATTAAAGAAACAATAAAACGAAACCAAGTCAGACGCTCAAATTCAATTTGCCAATGCATAAAGCAAAGACAAAGGCCCGCCAGTGGTCCAAAGTCGTAAAAATCATTTAATTAAATGAAGTATCGCTCTGCATATAAAATACCCTGTAACGATTATTTGTTTGTTTAAAACTTGGAAAAAATATAAAAAAATTAAAATTTGTTGAAGCGAACTGAAATGAATTCAATTTTTATTTAAACTAAAATTAAATATTTAAAAAAAAAAATTAATTGAATACAAATCTATATTCATTAAACATTTAAAACTATATTTTTTAAAAAAGGTTTTCCACTTGACTTTGAATATAAATTAAAGATTTTATTAAAATAATTACTAAATTTAAAAAAATAATATAATATTAAAATAAGAAAGTTTTCAAAATAAAATGCTTTAGGAAGAATTTTAAACAGGACAATCGAGATTCAAAGATAAATGTATTTAATATATTTCCATATTTAGAGAAAACCCTCTGTTCTTGCTCTTTTCTACTAAGTATATTTTTCATGTAATCATCTTTTTAATATAAAAACATAAATATCACAAAATATATATAAATTCTATCCGTAGTTCTTAATTTGTAATATTAAGTATACGCATGCGTATACGTAACTCGGGTTATGCAAGCAGCAAATTTATACAATTTCATACAATCACAGACAATTTGCCTATAATTTTTACAAAACTCTAAGCACGCAAGTCGTTTGGCTTTGTACACCATTTGGTTCGGGTATCTCAAAGTCGGGTTACACTACAAAATTCGTTTGCTGTGCTCCAAGCAATTGTCAACGCCGCGGGCACAATAAATATGTTATGAAAATGACAATTTGTCGGCTGACTTATGACTTTATCGTATGCAAATTGTGACAAGAAATATGTATGTCCATATGTATGTATGTATGTTTATATATTGCACAGTTTGTGTTTACAGCATTTGACATTTTAATACATTGTTATTGTGGCTCATTTAAAAACAATTTATTTTGCCAATAACAAAAATAAACAATAAATGAAATATAATAAATAAAAATAAGAATTATATATGTGTATATGCAGCTCACGCGCTGGCAAGAGATCAAGTTCATTGAATTTTCACATTGGCGACAAAAGAAATATAAAATTTAAATAAAAATAAACGTAAAAGAAAAGCAAAAAAAATGTCTTTGCTCTGTGTGAAAAAAATAAAAGCAGCAAAAAGTTCGCCTTGTCATTTAATTGAATATTTTTAGTGCTGCGCGCCGCGTTGTGAGAGTTCGCAAAAATCAAATATATATGTATATAGTATTTAGTATATATATAAACAAAATATATAAAGCATTTTAAAATAACGATGACAAAATCTCGCTCGCTGTATTTTTGTGCAACAAAACAAAAGGCACTAAAAGAAGACAAGAGAACAAGATGTATTTGTTTTTGAAGAAATTTGTTGTTATTTTGGTTTTTATTCGACTTTTTTTGGCTTGTTTGGGGGGCATTCGCCCAGGAAGGCGGCAGCGCAATTAGATTAAAGGCGTGGCCATAATTCATGTGTTGTCTCGGCCGCCCATGTGATTAATCACGGTTTATGTCATGAATATCAAGCAGTAAGTGCCACAAATGTGACTGAACGGATAAGCTAAATATATTATCCGCTGCTCTTTGGCGGCAAAACGGATAAAACTGATAATATATGTGGATAACAGAGACTGAGATAAATACATTTAAATAATGTATACAAGAAAAGAAATATATATCTAAAAAAAAAATTTAAAATCGTTTCCTTTGTCATGACCGATAAAAGCAAATTTGTCAACTGTCAACGGATAAACAGGAACCTATGAAATACATTGTAAAACAACATATAACAGCGAATCTGAGAATTTGAAAAATATGACTTCTCTTTTGCTAATACGGATAACAGAAATATAGAGGATTAACAATCCGAATGTAATATTTTGTCATACAAAGATTAAAGCTGAGATTGATTGTAAGTTTAAAGTTGCAAACTCGTTAATTTCAATCAAAACAACATAGGGTAACTGAGGGTAGCTCGCAGTCGAGCATTAATTTATTGCTACATTCTTATTTAATTCCAGCTTATTATTAAGCCAATTACGTTACGATCAGCAAATAACTTTACATTGTTGAAAGCTTCAATTGCTATTTTTGTAATGCATTCATATTATGGCAAAAATGCATCAACAAAAGACAGATAGGTTTATCCGTCATTATCCGGCTGCGTTATTTATATGTGGTTCATTCATAGTACATGACGCCATACGAATAAAATTTGAAAGCCCATAAATTATGGTAACAATATATAAATATTTATATCGTTCCGATTGCTATTGCGACCTTGAGCAATTGAAGAGAGTTTGACCTATGTACTGAAAAGACATTGAAAGCAGTTCAAAAGAAACTATAAAAAAAGCAAATTTATGCTTTATAGATAAATATTGCTTAAGACAAATGGGAGAATGCTCAAAGTTCAATTGTGGGTGTGTCAGACGCAATAGAAACAGTCCATATGGCATAGCAAAAGTTCTTGGATAATCGTCTGGGAAAAAAACTAAAGATAAGAGACAGATTAGATTAGAGCTCTTGCATTGAAACAAAAAAAAAAGGCTGAGAACTATTTTATAGAGGTATGCGAAATATTTGCTATGTAAAGTAAAATCAGTTGCCATGTGGGTAGAATAAATTAAAACATTTGCTATTAATTATATATAAATAATTGCATTTAAAATATTTTTTTTAATATTCTGTTAAAAATTATAATTATTTGGGTTTTATTTTGCTAAAAAAATTTGTTGTATAAAGTTTTGCTTCTAAAAAATCTCAATAAAAAAGATATATATAATAAACATTTTAGTAAATAGTCAGTTTTTAAATTAATTCATATATATTTACTTAAACTAAATATTAGTCACAGCCAAAATTCATAAAATATAGCTCAATTTTTTTGCACCAAGCACCAAAAATTAGTAAAAAAATAGAAATAACTAAATAAGGAAAACTGAAAAGTAAATTAAACATACCCAAAAAACAATTGCGTTATTTGCGCTGGCGTCTGGCAGATATTGTGCACATTGAGGGTGCGGGGGCGGGAGAAGAGCATGCTTGAGCTGTTGCCCAACAGATTGGGCAGACAGGCAGCCTCCGCTATGATGGCCGATGTGGAGTTGCTGCGCAGCGTTGTATACGCTCGCAGTTGATCAACATTTGCAGCATTTGCCGCAGCAGCCGCTGTCAAGGCGGCAGACGTGGAACGTAGCTCGACAGCTGTTGTTGTCTCCTCTAGTGTTTCGACCAGGTCTTCAGCTGAATCGAGCTGCATGGGCTGACTGCTGCTGCTGCTGCTGTTGCTGCTGCTGATGCTGTTGTTGTTGTTGTTAGCTTTGCTGCGCAGCTTGTTGTAGACATTGTTGTTGTGATTGTTGCGATTGTTGTTGATGAGATTTGGTATTTTGGCGCGTTGATTGTTGCTTCGATTGCTGCCGACAATTGCTTGTGCTGCCATTGTGCTGCTAGCGTTGTTGTTGGTGTTGCCGCTGCTGGTGCTGCTGCTGTTGAAGCGTTGTTGCAAACGCATTTTGGCCAATTTGCTGCGCATCGAATAAATAATTTAAAGGCTTCGGCTTGCTGACTTTATGTCAAACATTTCTGCAATAATTTCCTTTTGCCCTTTACTGATTTATGTTTTTATGCTGTTTGTTGTTGTGCTGTGATGCCGGAGACAACATTTCACACAGAGGTGCAGCGGTGCCTTTCACTTTCAACTAAAGAATTTTTGAGGTGCGCAAAATAGAAAATAAACAGAGTATTTTTGTTTTTTCTTTTAGAAACAATAAAACCAAAACAAACAGAATGTTGATAAGCTTTTCTTAAATATTGTGTATAAAATACGTATATGTATATATATCTTAAAGTCACTTATTTGTTGTTTTCTTTAGCAACTGTAGGCGTGTGCACCATGACAAATATTTGAGTGTAAATATTTGGCTTTGCTTTTCAAATTTTTTATTTTATTTTGTTATTTTTTGCGCGCGCTGCAAATTAATTTCTTTTATATATTTATTTTCTTTATACAAATTTAGAAATGATTTTATATATACATATGTATGCGTGTGTTTGTGTGTACATTTTGAACGAACGGAAATTGCCTCACAAACAGCATACACACGAATAGCACCCGAAAGCTAGCAGCTTTTGACACAGTGCGCACGTAGACGCACACACACACGACGACCAACACACAACGTTGTGAACGCGTCGAGCCAACGTTGCTGAATGATTCGCCCAGCACAACAAAGCGCGCAGAAGTACTACGCTCAGCGTCACTTCGCACTGCGGTCGCTGCGCAGTTGTTACTCTGAGAGCACACGCACGTGTGTCGCCCTCTCTCTCTCTTTCGTTCATGTGTGCTGCTTCTCTTTGTGCCGCTGGCCGCTTTTCTTTGCTAAGTTTTTTGTTTTTAAAAACAAACATTCAATCAAATGCTGTCCATCTCAAGTTTGCTGCTCTCAGCTTACAGCGCGCGTGGGCTGCTTTCGATAGTCGAAAAATTATGTTTTTTTTTCTTATTTGGCGTATCGATCGGTCGTTCGATCGAATGGGTTTCATGGCAACGAACCAGCACTGCTCGCAATTTCCACAATATTGAAGCAGCGCACAGTGGTAGCAAAAATTAAATAAAAAAAAGTTCAACTTAATTTTGATATTTCCTAAGCACACATTATATGGATGCTAATATTAATATTGTAACCAAATTTAATAAAACATTTGGAGTAAATTTAAAATAATTTTTTTTGCCCATTTGCTAAATTATTTGAAAGTAAAAATTATGTTTTTACTATTTTCATTTAATTTAAATTTTATATACAAACAATTACTTTATCATTGAAATTGTAAACTATATGATAAACATTATTATGCCAAACGTCCTATTAAATATTATATATTAAATAAAAATTAAAAAAGAAAAGTTTAATTGAAAAAACAGAAAAGTAAAAAAAAAATATATATATAAAAAAATATAAACATTTTTTTAGCATCATATTGAAAGATTTAAATGAAATACTTTAATTGTTTGTATATTTATATAGTTGTATATTTTTTAGTCATAAATTAAGTACAATATTTTATTTCAGAAATCTTTTTTCGTGCCCAATGTGCGTAGCTTTCTCTTTTTTTTCTAATATGGATTTTCAAAACAAACTGTCTGGGCTCCCAACAATGAAAGTTATTATAATAAATGTGGAATCATAGTTTTTTTCTTGTTCGTTTCTCAATACTATGACTAACTCTTGGAAATGCTCCTAATTACAAATTATAGTGATTACTCATTGGTATTTTAGATTGTGCAAACAAAAAGTAAAAAAAAAACAACAGCAACAAAAATTAGGCATTTAGTTGGGGCCAATGTGAGTAACAATCGGAGCCAGATAAGTTACGGCGATAAGGTCTAAAAGTGGGATGTATGAATGCAGAAAACATGGCAACAGCTGCTCCTTAAATAGGACCAACAAGCAGGTATCATGCATATGAGCTGTATTCTAAGGTATTTCCGCGCTGCTAGCCAAGAGATGAGTTCCTCTGATTGTCAGCAGCTGTTGGTGGGCGTGTGTGAAAGACAGGCTAACCTATATATATATATAAATAAATGTATCTGGGAGATACTATATATGACAGTCCAGATGCCAAATTTAAATACAAACAATAATTTATTGACGCCGCTCGAAATGAGATTATGAGCGCGTGTAGGTGAATGAATATATAGTTATATATAGTGATATATCTATTTTTTTTTTAAAACAAAAAAAACTGGCACGGTAAAGAGGGCGTTGCTTTAAATATTATAATGTATGTCAGGGTTTGCTCTTGGCACTTGTGCCACACGAAAGTTCAAAAAGATTTGCGCACATCTAACCAACTATATATATCTATATCTATAAACACATATGTAGTTTATATTTATGTATGTTTGTATGCTTTTTTGCCTTTGGCCAAAATAATTTTTAGAGATATTGTGGATGCTGTCATGTACGCGCCTTAAATGAGCATTTTGCGATGATGCCATTTTGTTGTGGGTTGCTTTTGTTTTTTTTCTTGTTTATTAATGATCTATTGAAAACGTTTAAAAAAAATAAAATAAAAAAACTTAACAAAAATGATTGGACTGTGTGTATAAGGTGAATACGTTTAAGAAAAAGCTTACAAATTGCGAATTCGTTTAAAGCCGGATAACAAGCTGTGCGTATAGATTTGGCATATCTTTTAATTGGCAGCGGATAACATAAATGTTAACTATAATGGGTGTTATCCGAATGAAATATTCTGAACGGATAATGTGGAACAATGAAATATATTTAAATTAGGAACAATAGATTTGTCATACATTTTAATTGGCAGCGGTTAGCATAAATGTTAACTAAATTGGGTGTTATCCGAATGAAATACTAAGCAAAAACGTAAACGTAAACGTAACGTACAGCAGACAAGATCTGACAGATACTGCATACATTTGAGTTGAATACGGATAACAGACTAGTTATGCTATTGACTATAATGGGTTTTATCCGAAGAATATATTCTGCATTGATGACGTATGGCAAATGATATATATATTTGTTTGGATAAGAATCTGTGTGTATTTTAAGATAAGTAATGCTTATAGATTTGTCATACATTTGTATTGGCAGCGGATAAGATATATGTTAAAAATGAGAATATTCTGAACGGATAAAGCTTAGCAGTTAAATTTATTTTCGATTATATACAAATGTGGATAAGAATTTCGATATTTAAAGTTAGAATACGATCTAATGACATAAAATACTGGAAGGGTGTTGAGTTGGATAATGAATAATACAAAATGCTAATCTAATACGACGACCTACTTAAAAATAACAGTAAATATTAGTTTATTCTTAGCTAATTGAATTCATGGGCAAGTGGAATGGATTCAGCTAATGAAAGGTAATATCAAATGTCAAAATATTTACACCTGACTGCGCAGTACATAAAAACGCGATCAAAGCTTATCATTTAATCGTCTTAGCTAATTTGCAAGAAATTAGGCGCTTGATTAGCGACTTGCGGCGTTTGCTTTCTGTTTGCTTTTTCTTTTATTTTTGCATGGGCTGAGTAAGTCGCTAAAGTAAGACAATTAAGTATTAGGGTATATTAGAATTTAACAATATATCAAGAAAAGGAATATCAAGTTTGACGTAAATTAACATGCAAAATAATATGGATAAATTGATTTTAAATTAAAAAATAATATAAGGCGTAAAACAGACTTTAATAAACATCAAATTAATCAAAAATCAATTAAAATTCAATTATTTATATTTATATTTTTTAAATAATTGATTACAAAATATTCAATTCATTAATTATTGATTTATTATTCAAGTAAAATATATTTAAAATTGATATTCATCAAATTTTGGGACGTAACTATTACCTCATTGAAACATTTAAATGAAGGGTATAAACTAGAGCTAAGCTGAAGCTAAATAGTTGAAAACATTTGCAAATTGGTCACGCCAAAGTAAATGGCAAATACATTGGCGCCTCTCTCGCCCGCGCCCTCCTTCTCTCACGCTCTCTCTGAAAGGGGGAGCGGGCGATGAGTTGATTGGCAGTTGATTGCCAGTTGATTGACAAATTGTGCGATTGTATGCGTTTGGAAGGTTTGTCGCCTTAACCTGGCATTGCGCACATTCTGTTGCCTAGATATTCAAATTTTATATAGCTTTACTTTTATTTATTTCGTTTATTTAGCTTTGCGCTGTTTGACTCTGATAAGCGCTGGCCGCTTACTTTATGCGCATATTTCACGACAATTCAATCAAGCTAGCCGCACATGGACATATATATGTGGACATGTGTGTGCCTAGCGATAAGTTTCTAAAAAGCTAGGGCGTAGATAAACAAAAACCACTGAAAACAATCAAAGTAAATATAACAAAACTTTATGCCATATTTGCATATGCGTATGTGTGATATTTATTTAAAAATAAAAATATGAAGAGAAAAGAAGAAGAGCTACGAGACGCCAGCCAAAAATGAAATACAAATTTATCGCGCGCAAACACAAACGACCTTCAGGCTTTTATGGCCCGGGCTTTGCCTTTTTTGCTTACACACGTTTTTATTTCCGTTTTGCTTTAATTGCTTTTCACTCGTTGCTCAATTGCCGGACTCGCCTTCCTCTTCCTTGCAGCCTTTTCCTCAATAACTGTTATTGTAATGAATGCAATTAATTCTTTTGCGACGCGATGCGTCGCTACTTCTTCTTGTTTACATTGTCAGCGCTACCAGTGGCGCTCACCAGCATGTTGAAAGAGAGCAAAGGGAGATGCAGAGAGGCTTTCAGCGCCATGGCGCTCACTCCTCAGAACATTACATTTGTGCTCTCTCTCTAGTTCTCTGCAAACGCACTAGAATAACCGTAAACAAAGGCCTGAGCATTGCGAGCATTTCTAGCACAGCATTGGATACTCTTTAATTGAAGTTTTCCTTTTCTTGTTCATAAAGGAATATTATTTTATTGCTTTACGATTCTTATTGTGGATATGTTATAAAGTTATGAATAGACTGATAAAATTTCAAAATTGATTCTCTTGTTGTCCTAAGCAAAATCTAAATTTTTACTATGTATGATCAGTATGAGATCAGTCTATTCTCCCTCGTCTCACACTCTTGAACACAGTACGAGTTTATTATTGTTTAAGATAATTCATCTCACCATTTCAACAAAAAAGTAAAAAATTTAAAACTCATTAAGAACGTATATCTAGAAGAAATGTTATTCAATCGTTATGCTAGTCGGGCACTCCCTACAGTTTAATCTTTTTTTTATACGGTTTTTCTTCTTCAAATTATTTCATAACCTTTAAACAAATATTT